TTGAAGCATGATTTTACCCCAAATTCAAACTGTTCTACCAATTCAGCTAAAACTCACTTAAAAAACAAACAAAAAAAGACATAAAAATTCTTGTTTGATTTGGTTTGATTTGTACGTACCCATGTCCACGTGGAAAACGCCAGCTGAAATGAGTTCTGCCATTGAAATCAAATTCAAAGTCGTTAGGAACATTATGAGAATCCCACATTCGTTGGGGGAGAACGAAACACCCTTTATAAGGGTGTGAAAATCTTTCCCTAACAGACGCGTTTTAAAGCCTTGAAGAAAAGCTCGAAAGAGAAAGCCCAAAGAAGACAATATTTGCTAGTTGTGTGCTTGGCGTTACGTTCTTATAGGGTAAAAATTATTTACCTGAATGAGGACGAACTGGATTAGGTAAAGAAGCCAGTTGGGTTTGCTAAACCAGAAGAGTTGATCGTGAGGCTTGACTGTAAATTCCCCTTGGCTTATGGGGTTTCTTCTGCTGCTTTCTACACACATTGTTGTTATGATCACTTCCAGCTTTGTTCCCACAGTAACTACAATCTTTTCAATTTTTTACACAAACAATTAATCAATGTATCTTTACATCTCTGCTTGTTTGAATTGAGGAGATGAGTCTAGTTCTTACCACTAATGGAATGAATGGGAGCCAGTAATGGTTGTAGAACTCTGCAAAATAATGACATGGGATTTCAACATGAGACTCAGATTCATATACGTGACACTCGAGTACTCGAGTAAAGGAGGGTAAATGAATGAAATGAGACCATATTCGAATGAAAGCAGTCTTCAGGATAGGCTCACTCAGACAGGGTTAAAAGAATTGAAAGTTAATATCTATACTAACAAGGTGTCACTTCATTTTCGGTGGCTCAATTATAAAAACTCCAAAATTAAATATGTTTTTGTGAGATCTTACATCAGTTGGAGTGGAGAACGAAACATTTCTTATAAAGGTGTGGGAACCTCTCCCTAACATACGTGTTTTAAAACTGTGAGGTTGATGATAACACGTAACGGACCAAAGCGGATAATATTTGCTAGCGGTGGGCTTGAGTTATTATAAGTGATATAAGAGCCAGACATTGAGCGGTGTGCCAGTGAAACATTGGGCTCCCTAAGATCCCACCTTGGTTAGAGAGGAGAACGAAACATTTCTTATAAGAGTGTGGAAACCTCTCCCTAACAGACGCGTTTTAAGAACGTGAGGCTGACAGGGATACGTAACGGGCCAAATCATACAATATTTGTTAGCAATGAGTTTGGACGGTTACAAATGGTATCAGAGCCAGACACTGAGCGGTGTGTCAACGAGGACGTTGGACCCCCAAAGAAGGTGGATTGTGAGATCCCACTTCGATTGGAGAGGAGAACGAAGCATTGTTTATAAGGGTGTGGAAACCTCCACCTAACATATGCGTTTTAAAACTATGAGGCTAACGACGATACGTAACAGACCAAAACAGACAATATCTCCTAACTGTGGGTTTGAGAGAACCATCCTAAGTTTGGTGACCTCTTAAAAATTTATCTACGAAGCATTTGAGTGATGATAAGGAATGCTAAAAGGACTCTGTTAGCTTGTGGAGATAGTTTTACTCTTGGAAGTAGGTAACGTAGTCATGTCGTAAGAGATTTTAAATTCTAGATGAACTTAGAGGGTCGAATTTGAGTTTAGATATAAATTAATGGGTGGAGTTAGTTCAAGTGGATTCTATTGTGTTGTCAAAATAATAAAGAAAAGATGGGGATGGAGTAGAATTTCTCACCATGTGCGCTGAAAAATATAAAAAGAATGGAAAAAATCCATATCCAGAACCTGCAGCCATACCCAAACAAAGTCATAATTCCATTAGGAAAAGAATGAGTAATTCACCGAGGTGTCTTATTTGTACCTGATCTGAATAACCTGCACAAAATCATGATCAAAAGCTCTATGAACAAACTTCTGGAAGTTGAACTCACACCCTCCAGCAATGTTGGACTGTAAACAAGAACACGAAGAACACGAAGAACATGAAGAACACGAAGAACACGAAGAACATGAAGAACAGGAAGTTATAACTCGGAAGCTTTTTTGGTTACCGTAATGAAGCCATTGCGTAGAGTGAAGTAATCAGATTTTGAAACTGAGCCACTGAATTGTCTTATAAAGCAAACCTTTTAAGTTATAAACCAAAATTCAATGAATGTTCAATAAAAAAGTGATCAAATTTGAGAGAGGTGAAGTGATATTACAGGCCAAACCAAGAGTGGATGAGTGGCGTAGAAATTTAGATGTCTTCTCCCAATAGATGTTTGACTTGTGAGCCGGAATCTCCTTGGATCTGCAGATTTAGATTTCATTCATATCACTCCCATCACTTTTTTCTCATCCTTATTTGACTTGTTTTCTTTCTTATTTCATATGAAAGAGTCTACAAATTAATACAATTGGATCTAAGAGCGGTCGTGGTTATGCAAAGCCGTAGATCATAAATGATGCTAAAATCTTCGGATAAAGATGATTTCATCCCAAATCATTCAAACTCTTGGGAATTTGATCTAAGAACTCCAAAACGATAAGGAATCATATCACACGGGATTACTCAAAGTGGATAATATCATATCATTGTGGAAGATTCGTAGTTCCTAACATGATATCAGGGCCTCGAAAGTTGAACAAAGAGTGTACTTTGTTTGAGGGCTCTAGAGAATGAGTCGAGCTTTGATTAAGGGGAGACTGTTTGAGGGATCCATAAGTCTCAAGGGAGGCTCTATGGTATAGTTTGGTCGAGGGGAGGATTGTAGGGAAAAGAGTCCACATCGACTAATTAAGGGGTTGATCATGGATTTATAAGAAAGAAATACATCTCCATTGGTATGAGACCTTTTGGGGAAACCAAAAGCAAACCCACGAGAGCTTATGCTCTAAGTGGACAATATCATATCATTATAGAGGGTTCACGATTCTTAACAGATTATGTCAAGCTTGAATTATTCTAAGCAAACAATCTAAACTAAATAGAATTCCAAAGATGGTTCGTTCCGCTTTAAACTAAAGCAACATATATGACTTTATATAGTTTCAAAATCGAAAAGAGAGTAAAAACGATACCATTGTCCATTTGATAATCAAGAGCTCGAGTCTCCTTCTCCCATTCTTTCCATTTTCTAATCTGCCCACATAGATCTTTTAAGCCAAAAATTCAAACCAAAAACTTCGACAAAGAACATAACTTGGTATGTTTGAAAGTGATACCTTGGCGATCCCTAAACACATTGTGAACATACAATAAAGAACATGAAACACAGCCAACAAGGAGATCAAGACATTCAGCTGAGAAACCCCTTCCCTCGACATCAAAGAAACCATTCCCTAATCAAATTCATTCACAAATGGGTATGGTTTTAATAGCTTTTCATGTGATGAGAATATTTGCTAAAATCACCGCTTAAATGGTGTAAAAGTTCTCTATTGATAACCAAATATGATATATATGGTAAACTATAATTCAGTACTAGATATCCTTTAACAAGTTGAATCATTTACCTTTGATTCACAATGATCAGTTTGGTCTGAGTTGAGCACGGGAGTTCGAGTGGAAGCGAAAACAACTGACTCCATGGACGCCTCCATAGCAATATCTCTGCATGGAAGAAAGGATTTGGACACCCTTTTGGTGACACAAATATTTGGAATGGATGCCTCCGTGAATGCCAAAAGCAACGAGATGAAACCCATCTTCATCATTTCTATTTTGATCTTTCCCAAAGCCCTTTTGAAGGATTTGAATTTCCTCCCCCTGAGAAACTGAAGAAACAATCATAAAAATGGTTTGAAATTCGTCGTATCGACTCGGGAAAGCTTCATTTACCTTTGTAAGGTGGTGAAGTGAAGTCTCGATGATGAAAGCTAAGAAGAAGAACACGAATACAAAGACCGCAACAGCCCAAGTTGGTGTAGTTTCAAGCGAACCACTACTGATTTCTCCCATTTTTGGGTTTTTGTTAATGTTCTAAGCATTCTTATAGAGACAGAAAATGTAGATTTGGTCAAAGGCAATTAATGAATCATATGGAGAATTTGCATGCAAGAATCGTACGGTACCCAACAGAGATCGAATCATCAACTTGATTGAATCACGTGATAAGTGCGACAAACATGGCTTCAAATAAGACATCGTTGGATGCTAAAAGTCAACGCTTTCATAAATTATTTTACTCCAAAGTCTTCATGCTCTTATCAGCATCTTGGTTTTGTTTATTAAATCTGTACGGTTCTTATGCAATCTTGAAAGGACTTTACTTCTTTTTTTTTTAATTGTTTTTTTGTCCGATAGAGTTTAACTCATTTATATGTCTTTATGCTATTTAATATATTTATATATTATACCACCCAAAGATATGCAATCTGTTAATAATGATTATTATTGAAAATAATTAAAGATTTTGAGATTGCTGGTCACTTTAAATTTTAAATTTTTTAGTTGTATAGAACGAGAAAAAAATTTAGTTGATGAACGTGGTTTACATAAAATTAATCATTTATATTAACAAATTGAGTTTATGGTTTTTTTTTTTTTTTTTTGTTGATTTTGTAGAAAATTCGTAAGTTTTGTAAGGTTATCAAAGTGAAAAGGATTTTAGAGAACGAGTCTGCGTTAGTTTAATCAACATTACATTGTTTTGGGATAAAAGACATTGCATTCGAGTGTCTTTGTTTGGATTTTATTCTTTTTTGACTTGTTTCTTGTGTAACCATCCAGTCTGTAAGATCTTTCTTGTAGTATAACCATAAGGTAATTTAATCAAATCTAATTGACAAAGAGAATGGGTATCAAAAATTTGAATTTGTTATGGTACGATTAAAGTGCATTTAACCAAATTAAAATATGTTGAAAATAAAATTTAATAAAGAAATCTAAAAATTAATTAATTTTTCATAATTTAAAGTTATGAACTTTATTGGAAAATGGCGTGGAGAAGGGACGAACAATTCCCAAAGATTATTACCCTCATTACGCTCATTCCTAAAAAAGGGGAAAAAGAATTGACGAAATGCTTTGGAAAGTTCTTCACAGGAAAAAAAGAAAGAAAAAGAAGCAAAAAAAGGGTAAAGGATGCTGCCGAAATTGGAGTAAATTCGAGTCTTCAATTTCGTCATCATCGAATTTGTAGAGAATCGATCCGACCTTAAAGCTCTGAACGAAGAGGTAATCTATCTATCTATCATCTTCTTCCTTGAAGCTTGCCCAGATTTTCGAGCCAAAATTTCTTCAATTTGGCGGGTAATGATTCTGTTTTTGTTTAGGGTTTTTGTACTTAAATTAGGGCTGAAATGTTCGTCCTCTTACTCGGATTTCGAAACTTGAAATTCTTCAGCAATCTTTGATAGATTTACTCTAATTCAATCTCATATTATCTGAGCTGTGAGTGATCGTGAGTAGAAGAATATGCATCGGCGACCTGAAAACTATATGTATTCGTTTCGATGATCCAAATGATTTTCTTTTTCTGGGTTCATTCTGTTTGAGAATCTTGAAGGACTCTGTTTATGAGTTTCATCTTGTGATTTATTTCGATTCAGTTGGTGGAGAAGGGAGGGATCAATGCCGAGGGGTTTGAAGAGTAATTGCCAGTCTACTTCTCATCAGCTTTTGAAGGAAAAAGCAAAGAACCGTGTGAATGATCTTCAAGGGATATTCACTAATCTTCAATCTGCAAGGAAGGAGAGTCGTACTACTGACGTTGCTGTCTTGGAGGAGCAAGTGCATCAGATGCTCAGGGAGTGGAATGCCGAGCTCAATGAACCATCCCCTGCCTCTTCATTTGTTGTAAGCTTCTTGAATTTCTTTTGCAAAGGGTGTTTTTCTTTTGCAATCTTAATGGTTCTACATGTTTAATTAGGAGGGCAGTCTTGGATCGTTCTCGCAAGAATTAGCTCGTCTTCTCGAGCATTTTGATGAGGAAGATGATGCAACTAGCACATTGGCTGAACCAAAGGTTGAGCCTGATCAACATTGCGTTCTTGCTTGCAATCCGTCCGATTTTCAGCAGGTAAGACTTTGAGCATTTGGTTTTCTACCATCTCTTGTATGTTGTTTAATATAATAGATTCTAACCAGCTGAACTAATGCTGCTGCCAGCAGCAGAGTGTTCTTGGATTTGAAGAGTGCAAAGTCAATAGTGAAGATTTCAAATTAGATCAGAACTTTATGCAGAACTTAGTGGTCGGTATGGATGATATGTCTACTGTGGATTGTCGTTTATTGGATTCGCACCAAGAGTTCGACTATGGGGTGCTTATCGGGGCGTATGATGCGGGAGACTTTAGTCAGGACACAAAGCCTAGCATTCCCCCATACATCTCGCCCCCGCCATCTGCTTTTATGGGGCCAATGTGTGCACTCTGGGATTGTTTCAGACCTGCTCAAGGATCTAAATGGTGCCAGGACTATTGCAGTAGCTCTCATTCCATGCTTGCAATAAATGAAGGCCTTCCAGGAATGGCTCCAATATTGCGCCCTGGGGGCACTGGCTTAACAGATGGTCCACTATTTGCTGCTCTTCTTGCAAAGACACAGGCCAAAGAGGTGGGAATACCTATATGTGATGGTGCTGCAACAAGAAAATCTCCATGGAATGCTCCTGGTAAGCATTTGTGTTGCTTGAACTTTTTCTGTTTTCTTGGTTTAATTTTGTGTTTGTTATTGCCCATTTCCATGAGATGATCCCACGTTGGTTGGAGAGGGGAGCGAAACATTCTTTATGAGGGTGTGGAAACCTCTCCCTAATATACGTGTTCTAAAACTGTGGGGCTGACGGCAATACGTAACGGGCTAAAGTGGACAATATCTGTTAGCGGTGGGCTTAGGCTGTTATAAATAGTATCAGAGCCAAACACAGGGCGGTGTGCCAACGAGGACGCTGCGCCCCAAGGAGGGTGGATTGTGAGATCCTACATTGGTTGGAGAGAGTAACGAAGCATTCTTTATAAGGGTGTGGAAACCTCTCCCTAACAGACGCGTTTTAAAACTGTGAGGTTGCTGGCGATACGTAACGGGCTAAAGCGAACAATATCTGTTTGCGATGGGTTTAATCTCTTTATTTTCGAGTGACTTGGATCAATTGGTGTGTGTTCCATCATAGTGATTCTTTTCATTGTTGCAGAGCTTTTTGATATTTCATTTCTCGAGGGTGAGACAATCAGGGAATGGCTCTATTTCGACAAACCTAGACGGGCCTTTGAGAGTGGTACTCGAAAGCAAAGGTCATTACCAGATTATAGCGGCCGTGGTTGGCATGAATCAAGGAAGAAGGTGATGGAGGAGTTCGGTGGTCAGAAGAAGTCCTATTACATGGATCCACAGCCATCAAGCTCACTCGAATGGCATTTGTACGAATATGATATAAGCAATTATGATTCATTTGCATTATATAGGCTAGAACTCAAGCAAGCTGGTGCAAAAAAGAGCCCAAAGGGAAAACTACCAGCTGATCCTCTGGCTGATCTGCAGAAGAAGATGGGCAGGCTTACTGCAAAGGGGCCTGTGGAGCTTGGACAATCAGTCAAATAATTGTTATGATGGTACATACTCGTCCCGTTGCTGCTTTATGTCGATATATACCTCGTCCCGTAGTTTGTCTCGTGAATACATGGCATTTCGACCCCTTTTTTTTCATGGAAGGGGAGATTCTGGATGCTAGTTTGTTCTAAAGGTTTTCTTTGGAGTTTTTTCCATTTATATTCAGTTTAGAAGATATGTACAAGTTGTGTTTGTGTCTAATACTAATAGTTTGAACGATAATTCTATTAAACTTGAAATGTATCTAATAGAATTATCAAATTTTAAAAAATATTAAATAATATGATGATCTACTTAAACAAAATTAAAAAATGAGGAACTTATCCGATACAATAGTGCAAGAAAGTGTGGCTGGGAACCAGAAGTGGGAACCATGATTCTGATGTTTCCAACTTTGGGGGACCCAAGAAGAAGCGAAACTAAATCTTTCGTTGTTCCCAACTATGAATTGTCCCGGCTTTCTGTTCTTCCAAGAGATTCGATTTTCATATTCAGTTATGAGGGCTTTTTTCGATAAAGATCTTCCTAAGAGTGAAAGTTCGTAAAAAAATGTTAGAAAATACCGCTTTCCCCTCCCTAAGAGGCTTGACAGAGTTGAAATTCCTCTTCTACGAAATGAAAAACAAGAGACTTTTTTTCTCGAAAAATGAATCTTTTTAACAGAAGATTGTACTCCTTTCAAAATTTAAGCACTTATTTAACATTTTGTAAAATTTAAGAGCCTATTAAACATAAAAAGAAAAGTTTGCAAACCTATTAAATACTTGATAAGGGACTAAACGTGTGATTTAACACGTTATTATTACCATGTGTTGTGCTTTGAAATCTCTATCTAAATTGGGTATACATATAAGCTTTTCCTTATTACATAACTTCAAATATACTTTATAATCTCTAAGAAGGTAAGATTACTGACCAACCCCAATAAATTCTCCCTACCAAATGTTTGTATGATGATATCAAGGAAATTCTCAACCATGGACGCACCTTCCTTTTACTGCACCGAAGGCCAGGAATTGGAGTCCACCCAGTTGTACGCTATAGGGGCCAGGAAAGCGTCGGGTATGCCGAACGAGCTGACCAGTGCTAGAGCATGCGGTCGTATTTCGCTGCATAGTTTCTTCACTTCCTGCCTCACTGCCCCTGCATTTTCTGGTGATAAATAACCATAGCGGAGGAAGGAACCATCTTCCTCCAAGCAGATCAACGCATACATGGATCTCAGAACACCTAAAACATTCTGTAGCAGAAACCATATATATGGACGTTCATATTAGGCAGCATATATCAATGGAGAAGAAGTATGCAGTAAACGTTACCTTCACTGGTCCCGATGGTACACTATCTTCAACTTCCATAAAAGACTTCAATATGGCTTTTTCAGAGAAAGCTCTGCCCAAGTCTTCTGCAAGCAGAAAGCTCTATAACACCAGAAGGATTACAACGATTAGAGGGTCGAACAGTAAACGATATATGGAGTCCTTGTAAGCCAGTGAATAAGAAGCGAGGAATCTCACCTGAATGAAGGCATATTCTTTGCTATCACCTTGTGCTTCATGATGAGATACTTCAGCAGCTAAACGGTTTAATATATCTCGTTCTCTTAAGCAAAAGGCATCCGTCTGGTGCAGGAATATGGTAAGAAAATAACGAATGAAACTCGGTGAACTGAGGTGAACCGATTAGGGAAAAGGTAATGCTAATGTTACCTGGAATTTAGAGCTTCTAAGGATAGGACCAGTGAGCTTAGAAGGAATGACAGGGCAGGCCTCATTCATGTGTTCTAATCCCATACCTTTAAATGGTTTGTTTCTCTTCTTAGCTGCAATGTACTCGGACAGCAATGCCTTGCTCACCTGTAATGAAGTTATCCAACCTTCTAAATCCCGCAGGTCTAAGAAGATAGATAAAATGATGTAAACTACATACCTGCTGCATTAGGACATTATTATCGCCTTCAAAAGTAGACTGAACATCAAATTCACTTTTCAAAGGACCAACTCGATTTTCGGACTTTATGCCTTGGCCTCCACATGCTTCACGACATTCCTTGAACACAAATTATCAAATGTAACGTTAATATCTTCTTCGATCATTTGGATATGCGAAGCCAACAGTACATGCAAATCCTGACCTGAAGTGTCCTCATATTATGCCAGGTAAAGGTAGCCTTAAATGCACTTGAGACAACATGGAGAGTTTTGATGGACTCTGGTGTTCTCTTCATGTAGATCCTTTTCAATTCATTTGCAGCAAAACTCATGGCATATCTGCACAATTAGTATTATTCATAGCCTAGAAGCAGAGAAATTACACCACTAAGATAATTATTGTTCTAATGTTCATAATCTAATAACTGCTTGCGTTTTAATCATGCGAGTTCGCACTTATTGAATGAATAATTTTCATGTTCACATCCTAGACAATAAAGCAACTAAGATGCTAAGCTAATTGCAAAAGAGTTACTACCAAAGGTATCAGACCTGTACAATGATGTACTAAATTGTGCAGATTTTCTAAGCAATTTACCAGAGTCCACGAGCATACAACAGAATCATATTCAGTATTCTAAAACTAGCAATTACAACTAAGACATGGATGTTTCAGTCCAAGGCTTCAATTTCTAGAAGCAGCTCGACACGCATGTGCGTGCAGTCCGATCCCAAAAATGATTATTCAAATCACATGTAGAAAAGATGAAATGAAGTGAATTTACCCTCCCTTATAGTCAACAAGAACTTAAAACGCTGTCAATCATTAATGCTGATATAATGTATCTCAACGATGTTAATCTTCGTAGCGAAAGAAAGACGGGGTTTCACGAAAAATAAGATTATGGATACAAGAGAACTTAAGCTTTGAAGACTCACGTCTTAGCAAGGAGAGGCAGCAATCTCTTTTGATGATTAGGGTAGTCCAGCAATTGGATTTCAGGTCCATTAGGAGTAAGTGAAAAGGCTCTCCTTGTTAATGAGTATCTTATAGCAATTGCTAAACCAACCTGACAACAAATTGATGTGTTTTTTTATGAACAGATATAAAATCTGAAAGAGTACTATACAGTTCCAAATCCAACAAAATTGATAAAACCAAACGTTATCGATAAGCAACAAACCTTTGCGGAATAAATTGCAGCAACGGAAATGGTTACACGACCAGATGTCAAAGGTGCCATAAACGCTGCAAACCTCTGAAAGCATGTATTAAAAGAATCATCCATGCAGTACCAGTTTAACTAATGGTATCAAATTTAAGAAAGCTTTCTTACTAAATTCATACTCTCAAACATACAGACAGATGCTTACACGCACACACACAAGTAAACACTGAATCATCTGGAAAATTAACCTTGTCCGGGTCATTTGTGGCACTTAGATATTTCCCTTCTACTGATACATCAGCTACAGAATTCAACAAATTCTCTCTTGGAATTCGCACATTATCAAACCTGACATGTATTTTCAAAACTGATAATTGTAGAATAGAATGTGATTCTCCCAGTAATTGAATAAATCTATAGTATATCCAAGATACTTACCAGATCCGACCATTATCAACACCATTCAAGCCAAGCTTATGGCCACAATCAGCTATACGTATTTGTGGACAGACATTACCATCTGCATCCCTGATCTGAGCTATAAAAGCATGGACGCCTTCATTTTTTCCATTTATGTGAAGCTGTGAAAAGACTATAGCATGTGTTGCATGCTAAAGATTAATTGAAGAACAAGTCAGTGAGGAAAAAGCTGAAACGAAGTTCATTGGTACACAAAATAACATGCTTTTACCTTGGCTGCCCCGCCAATCCAGTACTTCTGAGCTGACTCACAGGGAGTATTAATAACAAATTCTCCGGTGCTTGAATCATATTTTGTTACTGTTTCAATTCCTCGAACCTAAAATTATTTACATATTCATATTTGGGCGAATTAGAAAACAATAAGAAAAGACAAGCAACGTAACTCAAAATAAGGAACGATCTTCACATACATTACTTCCATGACCGAGCTCAGTCATTGCAAAGCAACCCTTGATCGCATAATCTTCTGTGATCTTTAACCATGCATCATGATGACGCTTTGTGCCAAAGAATTGGATAGCTCCACCCCTGAAATATATGAGAAAAATTAGTTGTTTTGGGTTAAGTAGTGATATAACCGATGTGAGATCTTACAATCCACTCCCTTAGGTGTCCAGCATCCTTGGATGCTGGCATACGGTGTCTAGCTTTAATACCATTGTAACAGCCCAAGCTCAAGCCCACCACTACTAGATATTGTCCGTTTTAGCCCCGTTATGTATAGCCGTCAGCCTCATAATTTTAAAAGCTAGGGAGAGGATTCTATACACTTAAAAGAAATATCGTTCTTCTCTCCAACCGATATTGAATCTATCATAACTAATCCACATACATTTCTTACATTTAATATTGATTAAGCACAGAGTCGGAACACAAATGAAAAAGGAAAAAAGAGGAAGAAGAAACAAGTTAGTCAGACATATATGGGCCCGAATTGGAATAATCATTTGAAGAGCATAAAATGAGTATCAAAACATCTTAAAAGGTAATTGACTGTAAAACGATCAACATCGAAACGTACCATAGGAAGACATGAACACCAATCTTAATCGCTAGAGAGTGATCATAAATTCCAATTGCCTCAAACAGCGCAAACTTTCTCCACGCGGCTTCAATTCCATTATCCGTAAGCCAACCCTTGAAAACGCCATTATCCAAAAGGTACTGAATCCGCTTCATCGTCATCTCCCTCTGCTGCTCCATGGACTGATTATAATCAGGGGAAACGAAGACTCGGCCACCGGATTGCACGGGATTGAACAGCTTGCTCTGCATCATCACCCCAAACATCCAGTCCCGGTCCGGAAGGTTATGAACATCCAAGAGGTTCCGCATCTGTTTGACGTCGAAGGAGAAGCATTCGGAAATCTCCGGAGGAGAGAATTCGAGACATGGATTGGGGCTAAGATCTGAAGTAGTTTGATGATGAACAAGGTGATTCGAAAGCACCTGAGTTCTCCAAGAAACACGATCCATTGCAGAGAAAAGCCGCGAGAAATGAAGAGAGAATTGAAAACGAAGAAATTTAGTTATACTTGTGTAACAGATAAGAATTTCATTTATAGGATATTCAAAGATAATTATCAATTAAAATATATTAATTATCTTATCTTCTCATCAATAGTATATATAAATTGTTATGTTGAGTTCATATACATTATTTTCATGGCCGAGCTTAGCCATTGCAAAACATTCCTTGAATGCATAATTTTTCACGATCTTTATATCCCTAACCTACGATTAGACGAGAATGTTATGGTATGAACAAAAGTATAGTTTTATATATAGATATCCATTTAATATACGGACGGGAGTTTCATAGAGTGAAGATTCTCCGTAAGAATATGTCTTAGTCCAATTCTATCACTGAATCTTTATATCTCTAACCTACGATTAGACGAGAATGTTATGGTATGAACAACAGTATAGTTTTATATACAGATATCCATTTAATCTACGGGCTGGAGTTTCATGGGGTGAAGATTCTCCGTAAGAATATGTCTTAGTCCAATTCTATCACTGGCCTGCTGTGCAAAATTAAACAAAAAAAAAAAAGTTTAATACAAAAGAACATCTAATTAATTAGAATTAAGTTTATTAAAGAAACTTGATTTATTTATGGGAGAGATGATGAGAGAATATAGAATTAAAAATTGCATCATTGTATGAATAAACGTAGAGATGGTTTAACATGATTAATTATTGAAAGAGTGTGGACCAATACCATTGACTTTCTTGCATAGAGAGTATGGGCCACGCGCGGTCTCATTAAATTGGTAGTTGAGTTGGTGATCATAGATTTAAAAGCCATTTATGTGATCAATTTTGTACAATAAATATCATTCCTAAATTCTTTTAAAAAGAATAAAGCCAATTTATGACAGGTTTGGCGGTTACAAATAGTATTAGAGTTAGATTATTACTGATTACAAATAGTATTAGAGTTAGAATTAGATTATTACGATTACATTACAAATAGTATTAGAGTTAGATTATTACTGATTACATTACAAATAGTATTAAAGTTAGATTGTTACAAATAGTTAGATTGTATGCCTGTTTTAGACGATTACAAATAGTATCAAAGTTAAATTCTTGCAAATAGTATAATAGTATCAGTGTTAGATTACTTATATCATTAGTTGGTTGGTTAGAGTAGGACAAGGAGCCAAGGCTAAGCCCCCGTAAGTGGTGGAGCATGAGAACCTTACCCGGGGCTTGACATGCTACGAATCCTCTTGAAAGAGAGGGGTGCCTTCGGGAACGCAAACACAAGTGGTGCATGGTCATCGTCAGCTCATGTCGTAAGGTGTTGGGTTAAGTCCCACAATGAGTGTAATCCTCGTGTTTAATTACCAACCGTAGAAGTGATAAGTCATTATAACGTGTTTTAAAAATGTGAGACGGATGACAATACATAACAGACGATATACGTTGGGTTGAGGTTATTAAATGTTATCTAAATATGACTCAAAAACAATTTTTGCAAAAAAAAGAAAAAAAAGTTGCAATATTATGTAAGATAAAAAAATTATATGCAGTAGCTTATCCATTGAATAAATTTAAGGAAATACAAAGGATGAAGATGAAAAGGCATAAAATATAGGTACATTTTCCATAACTTTTCCTCCCAATAATTCTTCTTCTAAGCATGGATCAAATTCATAGGTACAACCTACCTAAGTAAAAGGGCCACTAGAAATTATGCATGAACATACGACGCCAAGGAAAAAAAGAAAAAAAGAAAAAATCAGAAGAACACAAGATCAGATCATACATAATAAGAACAAAAAAAAAAGGAAAAAAAAAGACCCATTTGAATCCCAGATTGGCACTGCCGAAGTGGTGTGGTGGGGGAGGGGGAGGGTTGCTATGAAGAACAGCAGCCGGCCTTCTTGACGGCGGAGACATCATCCTTGGAGCCAATGTCGATGGTCTGTCCCTTGGGGAGGACGGTGGGGTCATCGCCGATGTCGAGGATTTTCCGGCTGACGACGCGGTAGGTTTGTGTGAGGACTTCGGTGAAGGAATTCTCGACGTTGAAGGACTCTAAGGCTGAGGTTTCCATGAAATATGTTCTCTCTCTCTCGGCGAATGCCTGTGCGTCCTCCGTCGACACTGCCCGCAGGTGCCGCAAGTCTGCCTTGTTCCCCACCAGCATTATCACTATGTTGTGATCTGTGTGCCCTCTTAGCTCCTTTAACCATCTCTCCACGTTCTCGAATGTTACGTGTCGTGTCACGTCGTACACTATCAATGCCCCCACCGCTCCTCGGTAGTATGCGCTTGTGATCGCTCTGTACCTGTTTCCAAATAATACCCAAATCTCAATATCAGACATTCATTCTTCCATATCTTCCATACTTGTAAAAAAAAAACAAGAACAATTTTTTTTTTTTTATTTATTTTAATTTTAGTAAAATTCGAGTAACCCTTTAAATAAAAACCTTGAAAAAAAAAAAACTAAAAGAGTTAGGTTACCTATGACTTTTTTATTAGAAATTAGGAACACATTAAAAGTCGGGCAGCTGTAATATGCTTTTCTGATCAGAAATTAGGAGGGGAGTGATACAAAAAATTGGTCCTTACAATATGACTTTCTTATTAGAAATTAGGAGCTTACGAGAAATTGGGTCCTTACAATATGACTTTTTAATTAGAAATTAGGAGCCTACGAGAAATTGGGTCCTTACAATATGGCTTTCTAATTACGAGAAGTTTGGTCATTACAATATGGCTTTCTAATTAGAAGTTATGAGCCTACGAGATGGCTCATTACAATATAGCTTCTAATTACAAATGATGAGCTTACAAAAAGTTGGAGAAAGTCAGGCAGTTATAGTATGACTAGTTATAAAGGTAGTTATAGTATGACTTTATGATTAGAAATTATGAGCATAGGGAGGTCAGATCATTACAACATGACTTTCTAATCGTGAATATGTAGAAAGTGGCTTTTTAATTGTCTAGAAATTAGGAGGTATGAAAGGTCGAGTTATTACAACATGACTTATTGATTAGAAATTCGGGTAATTGTAATATTAAACTCGAAATTCAAAAATTGAATTAGGATTAGGGAGAGAGATTAAGGAAATGAAAATCAAAATTAAAGGAAGGGAGAGGGGGAAGAAAACGAACCTTTCTTGGCCGGCGGTGTCCCAAATCTGAGCCTTGACGATCTTATCATCAACACGAATACTACGGGTGGCAAACTCAACGCCGATCGTTGATTTGGTTTCAAGGCTGAATTCATTTCTAGTGAAACGGGACAAGAGATTGGATTTTCCAACGCCAGAGTCGCCGATCAACACCACCTTGAACAGATAATCGTAATCATCATCGGCTCTGTACGCACCCATTTCTCAATATTGCCAACAAAATAAATAAATAAATAAATCAATCAATAAATAAGGGATCTGAATTAAATAAATACAGAGATCCCGACAGTCTCGAAGGGACGAGAGAGAGAGAGAGAGAGAGAGAGAGAGAGAGAAAGAGAGAGAGAGGCTGCCGGAGAAGAGAAGAAATGAAAGAGGGGGCGGAGAGATAATTCAAAAACCGTATCCTTCCAATGTTTTGCTTTTCTTTTCTTTTGTATTTGCTAAAAACGTCGTTCCTTTCTGTTTACCAATCAAATCCAAACGTAATTCAAAACTTTTAATTTCGGTTAGAATTTAGATTTAGACCCATTCCTTCTCTTTCTCTCTCCCTCTCTTTTTCTTAAAAAATTAATTTTGAATTTCCTTAATTTATTTTTTTTAACTAAATTAATAAAAATTCTCGTATTTTATCTCAACAATATCTTCAAAAATACTCTTATTATACTTTTAACAGTGTTTTAAAAAATACGGTATTGATACTGTAGCAACCTAGATCCACAGCTAGTAGATATTGTTCTTACCGCTCCTAGATCCACCGCTAGTAGATATTATCCTCTTTGAGTTTTTTCTTTCGGGTTTCTCCTCAAGGCTTCAAAAGTCGTCGCTTATATTGTCCTCCTTGGTTTCCCCTCTCGGACTTCCCTTCAAGACTTTAAAAGCTCTAGGACAAAATTTCAGCACCATTATAGATGTATGGTGATTTGTTCTCCTTCCAAGTGGGACATCACAGATACCCTCTAATTTTTTAAAATATTTAAAAATGTTTTTACCGTTTGAATTAAAATTAAAAAATAATTAAGAAATTTAAAAAGTAGCATCTATTTTTATGATTTTTATATTATTTAATTAATTTAAAAATAAATAATTTTTTGAAAAATCAAATCTTATCTTCAAGGATTTGAACAGACATTCCTTGCAAGTTGTAATGGTGCCCTGCCACCATTTTGAAACGGTCAACTTTTGACCCATAAACCAATTTGGCGTATGAAATTAATATTTAGTACCAAACTATATAATAAAAATGTTTTATGAGCAAAGATAAAACTATGCAATAAAAATGCTTATGAACATGATGTTAGCCTCTCTATGTTTGTTTTTATTTTATTAAAATTATATAATTTTAATAGGTTATTTTCTTTTGGCAGAACTAAAAGATCTCTTTCACAATGAAAACTTCAGCCCTTTCATATTAAACAAGAAGATTAATATAACAAGCAAGAATAACAATGAGACCCAGCTCATAGAGGAGGCCAAGTCTTCCACAACACAAACTGAATGACATGATACCCAGCTCAAAGAAACACACATTTTGTGGCCTTTCGTCGCTTTCTCTTCGGTTTCGGTGGCTGTAGAACGACCTTGATGGCAGCGTCAAACACAGTCTTCACGTTCTGCAAATCACGACATGGGAGATAGTTAAGGTTTGATTGCTTGATTTGAATTCGTTACCTTAGTCAACTCTGTTAAAATCTTAAAGATGAAGTTGAGGTAGTATGATGTAATGGCCCAATCCCACCACTCGCCATCACTAGCAGATATTGTCTTCCTCTTTAGACTTTCTCTTTTGAGTTTCCCCTTGAGGTTTTTAAAACGTGCTTACCAATAAGAGGTTTCTACACTCTTATAAAGAATACTTTGTTCCCTTCTTCAACAGATGTGAGATCTCACATTTCACCCCCTTGGGAGCCAGCGCTCTCGTTGGCACACCGTTCGGTGTCTGGCTCTGATACCATTTGTAATGGCACAATCCCACCACTAGCAGATACTGTCCTCTTTGGAATTTCCCTTTTGGGCTTCCTCTCAAGGTTTTTAGAACGCGTCTACTAGGGAGAGGTTTTCCGACCCTTATAAGGAATGTTTAGTTCCCTTCTCCAACCGATATGAGATCTCACAATCCACCCTCTTTGGGGGCCAGCGTCCTCACTGGCACACCGCTTGGTGCTTACCATTTATATTGGCCCAATCCCACCGCTAGCAAATCTTGTCTTGTGATTTCCCTTTTGGGCTTCCCCTCAAAATTTTTAGAACACGTCTACTAATGAGAGGTTTCCACACCCTTACAAGCAATGCTTCGTTCCCCTCTCCAACCGATGTGGGATCTCACATATGAGAGTAAACCATTAGAAGATTGTATAATGACATATCTTCATGATCAAAGATTTACTTTCATAGCTCTTTTCAGTCAAATGACACATTAAGATGCCAAATTTGGCTTCACTTTCAATTACCTGCTGCGTTTTGGAGCTGCATTCTATATAAACAGCAGCACCAATTGACTTCTTCAGTTCTTCACCCTGTCAAAATAAAGCCACCAAGAATTCTCTGTTCCATCAGATCCATGAATTCAAAAACGATAACTACGAGAAACAATTCGAGGAGGCTGCTACAATGTGACTGATTCGTTTACGAGCAGTACCTGCACGGTCGTGATCGGAACAGCCCCAGGATGGCTGGACAGATATTGTTTGTCATCCCTCAAATCTGCAAACAAGTAACCATTTAAACATCAAACGACCCATCAAAACATCCTCAGTTTTTTGATAACTCCCTGATGTGTTTGAACATTATTGTCATTACCAAGTTTAGTTCCCACAAGAACAATCGGCACGGTCGGGGCATAATGCCGCAGCTCCGGGATCCACTGTGGATTGGGATATCAAGTAATAAGCCTGATACTCTAATAACATGAAACAATCCATGGTACTTCAACAAAAACAGAGGATAATAATTAACCTTCTTAGAGATATTTTCATAGCTAGCTTTGCTGATTAGAGAAAATGCCAACAGAAACACATCTGCTCCTCTGTAACTCAAAGGCCTCAGCCTGTTGTAATCTTCCTGCCCTGAAATTAATGAAGGACTTCATTTTCTTTCTTCAAACATTCAAAAACCAAGGACTCTAAATTTCTATAAACTGAAACCCAAATTCAAAAAGGGCTCCTGATCATTCCCTATATTAGCCGAGAGGAGAGACTCTCCTCGAACAAAGTACACATAGAGCCTCCCCTGAAGCCCATGGAGAGCCCTCGAACAAAGTACACCCTTTGTTCGACACTTGAGTCACTTTTGACTATACCTTCGAGATTCACAACTTCTTTGTTCGACATTTGAGGATTCTATTGACATGACCAAGCCTCTAATACCAGGTTAGAAACCACAACTCTCCACAATAGTATTTTATTGTCCACCTTGAGCATAAGTGGCTTCCTAAAAAGGGCTCATACCTTTGGTTCCTTACTTATAAACCTATGATCATCCTCTAAAGTTGTCAATCCTCAACAAGAAAGTGGATTCAGGGTTAAGTTTCTCACCAGCAGTGTCCCAAAGCCCCAAGCTCACAGTGCTGCCGTCGACCACCACATTAGCACTAAAGTTATCAAAAACCGTCGGCACATAGTCCTAAATCAAGAGGTCAAAATTAGCTCCAAGCTTCCATTAGCAACCAAAAATGAAGAAGGGAAACGAAGATACACTGAAACTTACACTTGGGAAGGTGTTGCTAGTGTAGGAAATGAGCATGCAAGTCTTCCCGACAGCGCCATCTCCAACAGTAACGCACTTGATGAATCGAGCCGTACTCATTTCGAAACCCCTTTTGAGTTTTTGAGTATAATCTTCACCAATCGCTGCGAATTCGATCTCTCAGAAAATGACCCACTTCTCTGAATTTGGTTTCTGAGTCTCCATTGGTAAAAAAAGAGCAAGAAATTGAAAAGGGAAGAAGAAAGAAGATAACGAAAGGTAAGAAGAAGTGGGATTTGGGTTTGAAATTTGAACAGAAATGGAGGGGGCTTTAATGATATGAACAAACTGGGAATCTAGCTTCCACTTTTGCTTTGTGGGTGTCAAAAGCTTCCCGTTTCTTTAAGCGGACGCCCAAACAAAAAAGGAATACACCCAAATTGAGGGCGTTGGGTGATGGTGTTTGTTGGGTTTAAGTGTTAGACAAGGGAGAGATTAAAATGATGAGAATTAAGAACGCAATAAGATATCTAACAAAGCTTTTAGGATTAAAATTTTAATGCGAAATAAGTTAGTTTGAGTGTAGCACTTGAAATCAAATGCTTTAATTTCAAATCTCTTTATGTGATATATGAAAATGACTAAAATACCTTCAAATGTTCTATTCTCGTTTCTCAATTGGATGATTGTAGTTGATTTGAAATCTCTTTCTAACTTTCGTGATATATGAAAATAACTAAAATACCCTTAAATGTTTCATTCTGTCTCTCAATTGGATAATTGTAGTTGATTTGAAATCTCTATCCAACTTTCGTGATATATGAAAATGACTAAAATACCCTCAAATGTTCCATTCTCGTCTCGCAATTGGATGATTGTAGTTGCAGCTAAAAGCCATGGCAATAAGAAAAACTTGATCCCCATCGATGAGATAGACTTTATCGAATTAGTCAATGAAACAAACTTGTGAGATCTCATATTGGTTGGAGAGAAGAACACAATATTTCTTACAAGGGTATGGAAACCTCTCCGCAGTAGACACGTTTTAAAGCCATGAGGCTGACGACGATATGTAATGGGCCAAAGCATACAATATCTACTAGTGGTGGTCTTGTGCTGTTATAAATAGTATCGGAGCCAGACATCGGGCGGTGTGCCATCGAGGACGCTAGACCCCCTTATCCCACCTTGATTGGAGAAGGGAACGAAACATTCCAAGGGTATGGAAACTTCTACTTAGACATGTTTTTAAACCATGAGATTGACGATGATATGTAACGGGCTAAAGCGGATAATATCTATTAGCGGTGGGCTTGAGTTGTTATAAATGGTATCAGAGCCAGACACTGAGTGGTGTGCCAACGAGAACGCTGGCCTCCCATATCCCACGTTGATTGAATAGGGGAATGAATCCTCACGTATATTAAAATAAATGAAGATAGAATTGTTAAGCTTCCAATGAGCTACCTAAACCCTAAATTAAACATAAAGAAAAAGTCATTGGTTTCTTCACCAAATAGAACTCTTTTCATTTACAAACCAATTTGTTCTCCTTCTCATCTTGTTTATTCATTATTAAACTCAAACACTCCCTTTTAACCTTTTAATTTCCATCAACAATCAACACAACTTCTAAACAACTCCAAACCCATTTACAATATAAATCCATTAACCATCCACCATGCATCAATTCCTTTCTCCATGCATGCACGCTCATGCAATTCCTTCCCTCCAACCTAAACACAAAGTGATGCAAAGGCACAACCTTGGAGCTCTGCAGCCCGCCCCGGCCTGCGCGGCGTGCAAGCACCAAAGGAAGAAATGTCACGAAACCTGCCCGTTGGCACCATACTTCCCGGCCGATCAAAACCGGGAATTCCAAGCCGTTCACAAGGTGTTTGGAGTGAGCAATGTGACCAAAATGGTGAAGAATGTGAGAGAAGAGGATAGGAGAAAGGCAGTGGAGTCTCTTGTTTGGGAGGCTGTTTGTAGGCAAAATGATCCGGTTTTAGGGCCGTTTGGAGAGTACAAAAGGGTGTTGGAAGAGCTTAAAGTTTGTAAAATGGGTCAAAACCAAAGCCAAAGCTCAAACCCATTTGTGGGGCAAGTGGGTTTGCCTTGTTTTGGTGGGACCATTAGTAACAATGGGAATGGGATTGTGGGACTAATTAATGGAGGGGTTAATGGAAGCCATTTGTTTAATTACCTTCATGATAATCTAAGTGCCATTATTGATTCAAGTCCTTATACTAATTCTTCCACTTATAATTTGCAAAGCCCTGAGAAATTGATGAGATTGCACCAAGATCATAAAGAGATTAGTTCAACCATCGTCGTGCCGTTTCAGCCGCCGCCGCCGCCGCAGCAACAGCAGCATCAGCATCAGCAGCATCCCAATTTCCACCATTGCTTTTAGCCAACTTTCTCTTTGTTGTTGGCTATATTAAAACCATGAAAATGTTGCCTTTTATTCATGAATTCTCAAGTGATCTTCAATCATGGTACTTGATCTATGTAAACAGCTTGTAATTTTCGTTTGTTTCTTCGAGTTTTAGCTATTATCTAGTATAATATATTAACTAGTTGAATTATGCTTGCATTCAAGAAAAAATATTAAATTCATATAGTAGGAAAATGGTAGGAGAATTTTATATTAAAAAAATATTTTTTATTTTGATTTATTGCATTAATTGATTTTAACTAATTATATTTTCATTCAATAATAAATATGTCAAGATTGATATATTTTAAATGGTAGGTTTTTTAGTTTATTTAATAATAATTATTCTTCATAAATGGGTTTTTTTTTTTAAGAATTATGTATACTTTTAATTGTGAATTTTATTATTCAACAATTAATTATAATCTTATCATCTTATAGTTTTAGTAAATAAGCAATCACATTCCTCTAATTAATTATTGATTTATTAAATTAACGTCAATAAATTAAATAACTATGTTTAAATAAGATTATATATAGGCTGGATCATAAAATGTTTGCGAGGCCCACTCTTTTCAAGAAGGCCCATATACTGAAACTTGTGGACTGGATCATAAAATGTTTGTGAGGCCCACTCTTTTCAGAAGGCCCATATACTGAATCTTGTGGGCTGGATCATAAAATGTTGCGAGGCCCACTCTTTTCCTGATGGCCCATATACTGAATCTTGTGGGCTGGATAATAAAATGTTTGTGAGGCCCACTCTTTTCCAGAAGGCCCATATACTGAAACTTGTGGGCTAGATCATAAAATGTTGCGAGGCCCACTCTTTTCAGATGGCCCATAAACTGAATCTTGTGGGCTGGATCATAAAATGTTTGCGAGGCCCACTCTTTTCCAGACGGCCCATATACTGAATCTCGTGGGCTGGATCATAAAATGTTTTCGAGGCCCAATCTTTTCCAGAAGGCCCGTCAGTGGGCAAGCGAAACCGCCATACCGCTTTCTGGTCTGAGCCCCCGCGCCACCGCGTAAAAGGCGGTAAAATCTCACAATCTATTCCCTTACAAAATCTAAGAGGTACGTCTTCTGTTCTTCATTTTTCTTTGTGCTGAATTTAATCTTGCTTTTGATCGTATTGCATATGCACACCATTAGTTTGATTATATTCATCTGAGAAATTTCAGTTTTTGTTTGAATGAATCTGCTTGAAAATCTTGACTAGTTTCCATCCGAGTGTTGTCCAATGATATGAGGATGTACTCTATGCTTCATGATAATTTTCTATATCGCCTTTTGGTTCACCTTTTTGTTTGTTCTGGAAGCTGCAAATTTGGTGTTACAGATGCGTTTTATTGTGCAAACTAAGTGGACTTGGAACATCATTCTTTCAAAGAATTTGTTTCAGTTTCCTTTTCCATGGAAGTAGGGTTATGTTCAATCTTTCGTTTTCTTCTTTAACCATTGATGGATTCTGTGAACATAACCCTCAACTGAAGCAGTGGCAATTATGGAAGTTGGATGTGTTTAAGTTCATCAGTACACACTACTTAGCAGCATTATGCGTGCCAAAATCGGAGCTTTTAGCAAATTTCTGAAATTGAGCGCAACTTATATGATCTTTGTTTGTGTGCTATTATTTTTTGTGATTATGTTTTACCACCTCTTAATTAGGATTGTACACAATGTTTAATCTATGTTCCATGTTCTATAGGTTTCCAGCAAAACGTTTACAGGATGTTTTGATGACCAATTATGTGTTACAAAATAATACCCTCTTATTCTTAGTAGCATGAAACTTGGAACTGCAAGGACTTCTTCGTTTTTACTCCATTTCCATCAGTTTTTGCGGCAATGTTCTTCAGTCCCCTCAATAACTCCAGCACAATCGCTTCAAGAAAGCATTAGAGCTGCAGTTGAATCAAAGTCATATCAGAAACTTCCAGATTTGTTTCCTTCTTTACAAGAAGCTTGCCAAAACCCCAATCCTTTCTCGTTTCTCTCTACTTTTCCTGTTAACTTTAGAACACACGTTGTGGATGAGATATTGCAATCTTTAATCCCTCTCAGACCTCGCTCAAGGCCACAGTTTGTCCATGCCTCTCTGCTTTTCTATACTCTTCAAAGCCCTTCACCGCTTCCCCTCTCTCTTCCAGTTCTCCAGCGGATTCTCCACTCTGGTTGTGTTCCTGTCCCTCAGACCCACCTTCTCCTCTCTTCTGTATGGCTAAAACAACGTCGCCAGTCTAAGTCTGTTGCTAGCATCTTGTTGAACATGCGGTCGATTGGATATGAGCCTGATAGCAGCATATGTAATTATCTTATATCCTCTCTTTGTGCCATTGATGAGTTAGCTGAGGCATTTCAAGTCTTGAAGGGTATGGGGGGAGCAGGATGCGTCCCTGACTTGGAGAGTTATGGCACTTTAATTAGTTCATCAACAGCAGTTAGACGGACAGCTGAGGCAGTGGAACTGCTGAAAGAAATGGTTGTAAAAGTTAAGTTGACACCAAGACAAGGAACGGTCATTAACGTTGTGGCTGCATTACGAGCAAACCGAGAGATAAGGAGAGCAGTTGAGATCATTGAGCTGTTGGAGAAGGAGAGTTACAATGTTGGATTTGAGAGTTATGAGATTCTTGTTGAAGGTTGTCTGGAGTGTCGTGAGTATATTTTAGCAGGAAAGGTGGTCATGGGGATGACAGAGAAAGGGTATATACCATATATCAGGGTCAGACATAAGGTTGTCGAGGGGCTGGCTGGTATTGGAGAGACGGAACTGGCATCTGCTGTGAGACGCAGGTTTGCTGAGTTGAGGTCTTAGGTACTTTAAATTCCTTATAAATTTATTTTCTGCATCAGAATGACCTGTGGGAATGATTTAGAGAAGAATTTTATGCGATAAATACTGAATAGGTTTATTTCATTTTGTTTGAATCCTGCCTTTTTTGCTCGACTTTTTACTAATTGTAGTTGCGTCATTGGATAATCTAGTTGAGTGGATATAGAAATCTGCATTTCTTCACTCCTAAAGATAGACAAGATATTGTTCGCTTTGGTCCGTTACGTATCGTCGTGAGCTTCACGGTTTTAAAATGCGTCTCACACTCTTGATTCTTGTGAGAAATGTTTCGTTCTCCTCACCAACCATTGTGGGATCTCACAATCCACCCCCTTGGGGACCAGCATCCTCGATGGCACATTGCCTAATGTCTGGCTTTGATACCATTCGTAATAGCCGAACCCCGCTGCTAGCAGATATTGTCCGCTTTGGCCCGTTACGTATCGTTGTCATCCTCACGATTTTAAAATGCGTCTATTAGGAGGAGGTTTCCACACCCTTATAAGAAATGTTTTGTTCTCCTCTCCAACCGATGTGGGATCTCACATGCTCAGTCTTTAAAGGGTAGCTAGCCTTCATAGCTATGCCACAAGTACCTTGCTTATCACTTGAATCAGAATTCTCGTGTAACCAGATTCACCCCGTTAGTGCCCCATGAATTCTTGACAAGCCAGTAAGATTTAGGGTAGCTAGCCTCCATAGCTATGCCACAAGTACCTTGCTTATCACTTGAATCAGAATTCTCGTGTAACCAGATTCACCCCGTCAGTGCCCCATGAATTCTTGACAAGCCTATTGCTAGCTTCCCCATACCCAACTACTGCCACTCCATGATTGAGTTCCTTTCCACAATTCCCTGAGAAAACTCCACCAGAATAGAACTGGAAATCATATCCCCCTGTATGAATTGCTACAGAGACTGGCTGGTTAGCAACTGCATCTTTTATGCTTTTCTCATCAATTACAGGTACTTTTTCTGTCATAGTGGTATCTCGCTTTTTGTTTATTGCATATAGCTTCAATGTATGGATGTTCTCTTTCTGTAGTGAGTCCAGTTTTTTTGATGAACTGAAATGCTTTGTACATGAAGCCACCATTGCATCCCTGGTTCCCCGAGATGACATCACGGTCGACAAGCTCTTGTTCTGATTGAGAGACCAATGTGCCTGTTTTTATTTTGCTAATGCCTTCCACAGCTGCTCTGGCCTGATTTTGCTCACTAGAAGATCGCTTCCGCCTTGGGTGGAGCCACGCCTTATTGGGTGATGACTTGTGCAGTTTCTTGTTGGCTAGACAGGGTTGATCTGTTAACGACTCTATCGCCTTCCTTGAGGCACCGATGATGAGTTGAAGCTTAGGCTCAGATGCACCATTCAATAATGTGTTTGATGAGGAGCCATTTAGGTGATGAAATTCACTATAACGAAGATGATCAGCCCATATCGTTGGATCAGGACAGCAATGAGAAAGACGTAGAGGGAGAATTACCAATTCCAAATGAGTCCAGAGGTAAATTAAGAGCGAGTTTTAGTGCGTGTTTGAGAGCAATTTTAAAATAGTTAAAATCATTTCAAAACATAATTTCAAAATATATATTTCATATTTATTATCTTTAACTTATAGAAATTTAGCATTTTAACTTGACATGTTCATTCATACAAGAGCCGTTAATGAAATAGAATTTTAACGGCTTTATAGTTAGATTTTGTCTATTTATGTATTTATTTTTTTTAAGTTTCGAATTAAGTATTTCAAATGAACTAATTGTTTATTATCTTGTGAAGTTGGTAACTTTTTTTTTTAAAAAAAAAAATTTATAGCCTCTTTTTTTAGAAATATTTAAAATATCGGTATTGGAGAAATATGGAAGTATCGGATTTTATAAAAATGTTGATGTCAATGAGTAACTATGGAAAAATTATAAAACAAAAAAAATTAAAATAAACATTTAGCACCTTTAAAATATGTTAAAATACATAGCATTAATACGGGAGGGATGTAAAGAGAGGGAGAGAGAGAAAAAGGTGGATAGTGTTAAAGTTGATAAGGTTTCATTTACTCACTATGTTGTGAAGTATGTTGTGAAGTATGTCAGCCAAACTGAGTTATTTTAACCGAACGAAACCAAACTTCAAAATGGTAGGCCGAATACTCGCTTCAACTCAACGTGTTTTTGAAAGGAACATTACAAACCAAACGTTTTAGTAAGGTAACACCTATTTGCTTTGGATCTACTGATTTTCTTCTTCAATTTGTTAGGAAGTCATTTGCGGAATGGGTCCTCTTACGCTCGACAATCCAAACATGAAAATCTCGAAAATGAAATCTCTTTGAGGAAGCTTTAAAGAGCTATAACAAGTAAGTCCCATCTCTCATAATCCCAACCAAGCAAAGGTTCTTTTCAAATTTTAAAAGCTCTAGCATTAATGAGCCTTAGCGTAGAAAGCTATCTAACCATCAGCAACACAAGTACTTTCTCCTTCGGCCCACCGCATGATCAATCAATGACTGATCTTCAGTAAAGGAAATCAAATCAAATTTGAACCGATTATATATTCTAAGGCACATGTGGAAACCAAAAAAATATCAAAGCTTTTTCATCCATCCATTCATTCATTCGAGCCTGCATGCTTTCATTGTGGCCATTTACACGACCCCGCCAAACAAAAAGTATGCTTATCTCTGCACGAGTCTTTCTATTACAAGAACATTGTGTTTCTGTCTACGAACTTGCTTGAGATCTTCTTGAATGGTTGCAACTTCTCAAGGAATGAATCATCCCACGTTGGAGAAGTCCTATAACAATCCAAGCTCACCGCTAATAAATATTGTTCGTTTGAGACTTTCTCTACTAGTAGTGGTGAGTTTGGGCTTTACAAATAGTATCAGAGCCAAACACTGATCAGTTTGCCATTACAAGATTCCACATCAGTTGGAGAGGAGAACGAAACATTCCTTATAACAGACATGTTTTAAAATCTTGAGGGAAAGCTCGAAAGAAAAGGGTCAAATAGGACGATATCTGTTAGCGGTGGATTTAGCCTTTACAAGTCCTATCTCCTTTTGGGTTGTACATGAGAAAATATACGAGCTTCACTGCTTCCTTAAATGATGATAAGTCAAGACCTTAAACCGGTTTAAGCTTGTTCATTTCCTCTCTTCTTACTAATCACCGCTGTTTAAGTTCATAACTCAGTTAAACAATAAGAATCTGATATCAAAGTAGCAGAGTATGAACCACAATATTGAAAAGAAGAGTAATGTATAGCTTATCCACAGATTATAGAATTGAATCTTCATGGGATACAAGAAGGGAAAGTCTTTTTTGTGTTTTTCCATCACTTTTGAGCCTAAAATAACCAAAAAACCATAAGTTTCCATTGATTTGCATCATCTTGGTGCAGCTAAATCCAAATTGAATTTGACATATGAAAAAGAATTGTATTGATGGGGAGCAAGGGAAACAGGTCATTTTCCAGCATTTGTTCAGTTTATGTGGCTACAGGCGCTACTACCACAAAAACATACTCCAAACTGCTGCACATGCTGTCACAATAACCTGTATAAACCACAAGCTCTATCCTTTCTCTATCCTAATCCCAATCCCAATCATACACTAACTTCTTGCTTTCCAATAAATCATGAAACTAAGCACAGCCTTAGCACACAAAAACAATCCCTCCCTCCTTCCCTTTCTCTCTCTCTTTCTATAGAAGAGAGAACTAAACGATAAAAAAAAACAATGGTAATTTCACGGAAAAGCTCCCTATTTCCTGTTGGCTATGGTATGCCTTTTTCAACTGTTATTTTCTGCTTGTTTTAACAGGTTCTAGTGTCAAAACATGGGGGAGGAGGGGAAGAAGATGCTGCAGTGGATTTTAGGGGAAATCCAGTGGACAAGTCAAGAACCGGGGGATGGCTTGCTGCAGGGCTCATCTTAGGTGCTTAAATTTTTTCTCTGGTTTTCACATACCAAAATTCTAAGTTTATCGATGTAATAAGCTGATGAGTAGCAATTCTAAATGCCCAAAATGACGCAGGAACTGAACTTTCTGAAAGGATATGTGTGATGGGCATATCAATGAACTTAGTGACATATCTACTTTGGGACCTGCATCTCTCTTCAGCTAAGTCTGCAACTATTGTGACTAATTTTCTTGGAGCCCTTAATCTTCTTGGCCTTCTTGGTGGCTTCTTAGCTGATGCCAAGTTGGGACGGTTCCTCACTGTTGCAACCTTTGCTTCCATAACTGCTGTAGTAAGTTCTGAGCCATTAAGAATGGCTTCAACAAAGAAACTTCTGCTTTATCCTTGGCTTTCCTGGTTTTTGCAGGGTGTGATTCTGTTAACATTGGCCACAACCATCCCTGGCATGAGACCTCCTCATTGTGATATCTCCTCCACAAGGCAACTTCATCAATGCATTGCGGCTAATGGTGGGCAACTTGCCATGCTCTATGCTGCACTTTATACCATAGCACTCGGCGGAGGGGGGATAAAATCAAATGTGTCGGGATTCAGGTCCGATCAATTTGATGTCAATGATCCAAAGGAAGAGAAGGCTATGTTATTCTTCTTCAATAGATTCTACTTTGCCATAAGCATTGGATCATTGTTTGCTGTGATTGTGTTAGTTTATGTACAAGACAATGTGGGAAGAGGTTGGGGCTATGGAATCTCAGGAGGGACCATGGTGATTGCTGTTATTGTATTGGTTTGTGGGACAACGTTTTACAGGTTTAAGAAGCCTAGAGGAAGTCCTCTAACAGTGATATGGAGGGTATTGCTTCTGGCTTGGAAGAAGAGAAGCCTCCCTCACCCAGTTAATCCCAGGTTCTTAAATGACTACCAAAATGCCAAGGTTCCTTACACCTACAGGTTCATGTAAGTGTTCTTCAGATCTATAGGCTAGTTACAAATGGAAAAAAGTATATTTGTTCGTCCAATCCACAAGTAAATTGGTGGATTCAATTCAGTTAATTTATTTGGTTATCTTTATCATTTTGGAAAGGAAATAGTGTAACGAAAACGTGAATATTAGGTGTCTAGACAAGGCAGCAATTCTGGACGAGGTTGCGGCGATCAATCAAAACAGATATAATCCCTGGATAGTCTCGACCGTGACCGAAGTCGAGGAAGTGAAAATGGTTCTGAAGCTTTTACCCATATGGTCCACTGGCATCCTCTTTTGGACGATCTACTCTCAGACGACTACATTCACAGTAGAGCAAGCATCATTTATGGATAGAAAAGTTGGCAAGTTTGTGATTCCTGCTGGTTCTATGTCAGCCTTTCTATTCATCGCCATCCTGCTAGTCACTTCCATGAACGAGAAACTGTTCATTCCCATTGCTCGGAAACTGACTCACAATGTCCAAGGTCTCACAAGCCTACAGAGGATTGGGATTGGCCTTGTTTTCTCAATTTTTGGTATGGTGGCTGCTGGAGTTGTTGAGAAGGAGAGGAGGGCATTTGCTGTGGGACAAAATACTCTTATAAGCGTTTTCTGGTTAATACCTCAGTTCTTCTTGGTTGGTGCTGGAGAGGCATTTGCATATGTTGGACAACTCGAGTTTTTCATCAGAGAAGCACCAGAACGAATGAAATCCATGAGCACAGGACTTTTCCTTAGCACCCTTTCCATGGGATTTTTTGCAAGTAGTTTGTTGGTGACGATCGTAGAAAACGTAACCAACAAGCAATGGCTGAAAAGTAATCTCAACAAGGGAAACTTGAACTACTTCTATTGGCTACTTGCAGTGTTGGGACTGCTGAACTTTTTATTTTTTCTTCTACTGGCCCGGAAACATCAGTACAAAGACCAGCATTATTCCAGTTCTAATGACAACAATGAGGAGCTCAAGAGTTCAAGTGACAAGATCGCACTTGAAATGGAAGGACCAATTAGCATAAAGACAACAGAAACCTAGGGTGTGTGCTTCAAGGAGTGTCCCTTTTATGAGTTTAAGAGCCTGTGTGTAAGTTTGTAACATCTCAAAGCCTTTACCAACAACTAAAACCATCCTACGCTCTTAGAATTAATGAGCAGATTAGCAGAATTTAGCATATTTCAAATAATGTTCTAAAGTGAAAAAGGGCGTGCATTCATTGATGATAATAGCCATGTTCCTTCGCAGGCTTCTTACAGAAAGTAGCATCATCAAAAGCAACATTCCATTTTCAAACAGGCAAACATTTCAATAAGTTATTCTAGTCACTAAACTCAGCAAGATGTATAGAGCATAAAAGCCTTGATTGTCAAATAATTCAAGAAAAATACGCTGCTCAAATATAATTCTTTTCAACATCATCCCAATACTTAAGAACTAAACCTGACCTCTAACAGCAACACATGTTTTCAAGAAGAACCTGAACTTGGAGCAGGAAGGTGATTTACAACTAATGGAGGTCGAAGAGATTTGTGCTGTTCCACCTTCTGTTTACGGGCTTTAAACATTTCTTCTGTTTCAACGACTACTAATCGCTTTACCTGTAATTAAATTGAGCAAAACAAGGATGAGATTGCATTCAGTCCCCATGAGGTCATTCTGTAATGTACGAATGTGTGCAATAGACGAGTATATAAAGCAACCTGTTGAATCATTCCTCGAACAGTTGGTGTGTTCCAGCGCATGACAGTTCGGTTGCATTTCCGAAGACGTAAGGCCTCTAAAGTACGTCTGTGAAGTCTCCTTGTTCCAGGAATGCCTCTCACTAATGTGATATAGAGATTAGGACTCCATGCAATTGGAACATTAGCTTTGAAGGCCTTGAAGGCATTCATGTCTAAGACCTCCAAAATCTACAAATTAAAATAAAGATCAAGAAATAATTTTTCTCTGCAAGAACATCAACGATCTGACCTAAGCATTTCAACAAAATCTTCTCATTTGTTGGGCAGGAAAACTTCTACACTTCCCAACTCTCAAGTAAACAGAAAAAATCTTCAATAGATTGATAGCTCCACCAATGCTCTAGTTGCACAACAAATACATTAAAAGATATTGCTGATTATTGAAAGTAGACAATTCCTCATCTCAAATAGAAAGACTTCGTTCATCTTCATAATTACAACCACTTGAAGCTTTCAATAAAAATTCCCTAATAGCAATGTTCTAAAATGGTGGAACTGGATGCTTGGAAGCATAACATTCAGCAACATTAGTTTCATCCATGTAGAGCTTCACGTTTACATGGCATTTTCTATAGACACAGCATTCAATCTTAAGGGAAGATTTTAAAAAGGTGGAAGTGTTTGCTAGGAAGCAAAACAGTTCCAATGCAGAAATTCAAGGAGAAGGATCTATAACCTTGATAGCATTGTGATGGAACAAAGAACTAATGATGAGGCGCGAATGGTTCAATCCAGTTCAACAAAGCGAAAAATTGAACACCATGATATTCAGTTTGCCATATGTACAATCTGAATAAAACTACTTTTCAGTTTAAAACAAGGTTAACCAATTCATAAACTAAAAAAGAGGCAGGACATTTGAATGAAAAAAAAAATCCATTTTGCAGCTACCCATTAAAAGATATCAAATTTGTTATACTCCCATTTTAAAGAACAGTTGTATATATAATTATCATGATGAAACAGGAGTCTCCACATCACGAAGAAACTCTGAAAATCTAACATACGGCCGTAAAGTGAGGATAAAAATAAAAGATAAATCCCGAAAATGGTATGGAACACACATAAATCTTAATGAGCTCACCAACTAGTCCAGTAAAATAATCAATCATTCGTAATGCCAAATGAAAATTAAAGGCCCCGAAAGATTAGATTGCAGAAAAAACATGAACTGAAGATCCGACAGACAAACAACTTCAGTCAACAAAGTGGAACATTTAATGAATTTAGAACTTCAAACTTACCAGTTCGAGTAGGAGAAAGGAGAGGAATCGAGGGAAGTGACGAGTATCTGCAGATGTTCAGGCTCACGCTTCAATCTGAGGAGGGCTGAGAAACGAAGAGTAGGGCTGATATTTTATTTTATATTTTTTTATTTTTTTTTTATAATTTCAGTTCTAGTAATTGGAAGGGGAAAACTGAATGGCCTGGGCCGGGCCGGGCCGGAGAAAATATTATTGAGTTGGATGAATAAAACGCTGCCGTTTCGAATATGGCAGATTAGGGTGGGCCATGGGGGGGGGCATTTAAACGCCGTCGTTTTGGTGGGAAAAGAATATACTTTTTATCGAAGAAGAATCAAATCCCAAGAGATAGACATCATCGTCATACTGAATCCGATCGGACGGGAACCAGTTTCTGTGAGTTGAAGCCACCGAGAAATCTACCATGGAAGCCGAAGCTCCACATTCGAAACCTCAAGATGACACTGCCAATGCTGCTCTCATCAACTCCTTCATCGAGATCACTTCCTCTTCCAAAGCAGAAGCCCTTTTCTTCTTAGAGAGCCACAATTGGGACCTCGACGCCGCCGTTTCCACCTTCTTGGATAACCATGTCGCCGTCACGCACCCGGTTCCGCCGCCTGATTCGCCTGAATTTTCTCCTTCCCAGTCGCCTTCGCGTTCTCGCTCGCCTTCCCCACCTGCTTCTCGTGTTGCGTACGAGCTCCGTTCTAGGAGAGCTAGAGGTGAAGCGGAAAAGAAGGTGGATACTAGGGCTTCCAGGAGCAGGACGCGTCGCATCCGTACGATTTCTGACCTGAACCGGCCGGCGGAGGAGGACTCCGATAGTGACTCTGATGACATACAAGAGTACTACACTGGTGGTGAGAAGAGGTAAGTTTGATCTTGGATTCATTAGGATTTACTTTAATTGACTTCTAAGAAGATGTTGAGTAATAGAGTGAGGGAATTTTTTTTTTTTTTTCCCTTCCTGGTTGCATTAAGCGTACATTTGAATTTCTGGATTGAAGAAACTCCATGGGACTACAAAATTGTGAAATTTTTCAATAAATTGTTTGAATTGTTTTTTCGCCTCCTAATAGATATGAGGACTGATCAAGCCAGATTTGTTCAGGTCGTCGATTTTCAGATTCGCAGTGTTGTATCGGAACATGATTTCGTGCCTTCAATTTCTTGCATTTTGTTTAGTAGTTGTTTTCTACGGAAAATATTGATTATCGCTGAGCAAATTGGGTTGGCGTTTATTGTTTTCCAAAACGATTACGGGAAAGATTTGAGCTGATTTTATTCAGTAAAAACATACATGTTGGTGCATGTTCTATGCCAAAGTACAATATGTATGATTCATTTTGTCTCCTGTTTCAATGCTTTATGAACTTCCTCGCTTTCAGTGCTACATATCATTTATAAATGCCTAATTTGATCATTCTATTGTTAAGTAGATTTACATGTTATTTGATCTAGAATTTTATTTTGCTCGTGTTGTTTTCTTACAAATTACAAGTGTGCGGATGCCACCCAACCAAGACGTCTTCGCACATTCTTTGAGAGGGACATTGTGAGATCCCACATTGGTTAGGGAGGAGAATGAAACATTCTTTACAAGGGCGTGGAAAGCTCTCCCTAACAGACGCATTTTAAAAAACTTGAGGGGAGGTCTGGAAGGGAAAGCCCAAAGAGCACAATATTTGCTTGTGGTGGGCTTGTGCTGTTACAAATGATTGTGAGATCCCACATTGGTTGGAGTGGAGAACGAAACATTCTTTATAAGGGTATGAAAACCTCTCCTTAGCAGACGCGTTTTAAGAACCTTGAGGGGAGACCCGAAAGGGAAATCCCAGAGAGGACAATATCTGCTAGTGGTGGGCTTGGGCCGTTGCAAATGGTATCAAAGCCAGACACCGAACGATGTGCTAGCGAGGATGCTGAGCCCCGAAGGGGGGTGGACACGAGGCGGTGTGCCAATAAGGACGATGGGCCCCAAAGGGGGGTAGATTGGGGGTCCCATATTGATTGGAAAAATGAACGAGTGCCAGCAAGAATGCTGGGCACCGAAGGGGATGGATTGTGAGATCTCACATTGGTTGGGGAGGAGAATGGAGCATTCTTTATAAGGGTGTGGAAACCTCTCCCTAGCAGACGCATTTTAAAAACCTTGAAGGGAGGTCTGGTAGGGAAATTCCAAAGAGGACAATATCTACTAGCGGTGACTTGGGCCGTTACAGACATGGTCATCCGAACTTCCTCCTATATACATATTTTGATGATTCAAGGGGAAAAAATATCACATCCCATATACATATTTTCCTAATGTTATCCTTTTGTTTAGGAGGAAAGAAAATTGAAGTAAAGCACCTCATCGGTCCTTGAGGGAAAGATCAGAATTTTGAAGCAATTTTTCAGTAACCAGGAGTAAAAATGGCCAGAACATGCTTTTATAGTCAAAATTAAGTTGATAGTCTCAAGCGTTGCCTGCTGCACATATTATGTTTGATTTGGCAATTATGCTACTAGAGAAAACAATGGATGGAAGAAAACGTGATATTAATTAATGATATCATTGTCTGTTTAAAGGATAACGACCCTGCAGTACTCCAGCTAGGAATGGAACAGAGTTTATTTTCAAATTTTATATGTGCTTCCGTTTGATTTGTGTCAAATTTTATATGTTAATGTAAGACAGAAAAAGTATATGCTTGCAGTTTGCTGACGCTGCTTAATGCTTCTATTTTACTTTTTCTGGCAGTGGAATGCTTGTCCAAGATCCTTCCAAAGGAAATTCTGTCGATGCAATTTTTGATCAAGCCAGACAATCAGCAGTCAGTGTACCTATCGGACCACCTTCAGCTTCTAAAAGCTTTACTGGAACTGCAAGATTGCTCTCTGGTGAGACAGTACCATCAATTCCTAGGCACCCTGAGGCTGTCACGCACACTGTCACTTTTTGGAGGAATGGATTCTCTGTTGATGATGGTCCTCTACGGAGGTTGGATGATCCCGAAAATGCACCGTTTTTAGAGGTAACAACATGTGAAACCCAATTATTTTGTTATTCATGGTTTCCAAAGTTAAGTCTCACTCAAGAGAGTTTTTGAGCTTTGTCTGAAGATGACATGCTGTTGCCTATGATATTAATGTTCTTCAATTGCTCACGGACGTCATTTGATCTGCCTTTTTGGAACTTGAATAATTAATACTCGACTAATTCTTAGAGATGAAAGGATTTCAACCTTCCCAGTCTTGGATAACCTGCAAAATACTTTATACTTGTTGGTGCTTCTAAGTTAATGCCAGGATCATTTTGTTATCAACACTCATAAACTGAGTTGGTTTTGTTATGCTTGAAATCTGTGTGGAAGAAATAGATGGCTATATTCTCCAAAGTTTGGCTATGGATTCTTGATGTCCAAGATCTAAGCTTGCTAGATTTTATTTTCATGTTCAATCTACGAGCTGTAACATGTTTTATATTATGGCAGAGTATTAGAAGGTCAGAGTGCCCGGTAGAGCTTGAACCTGCAGACAGGAGGACTTCTGTCCATGTTAACCTCGTCAGAAGGGAGGATGACTACCCAGTACGTTGACAACCTGACCCTTTCGACAATCAATTTTTCTAGACATCGTTTTAATATTCCATTTAACTTTACATCTCCTACTGATACAGGAACCAGTGAAGCGCCGCCATGCTCTATTCCAAGGCGTTGGAAGAACGTTAGCCAGTGACTCGCTGGAGTCTGTCGCTGCTGAGCAGACTTCTGCGTCGATATCACCGAATGCTGCTCCATCCCCATCAACAGGTTTGGTGGTAGACGATTCCCTGCCAATAACTTCTCTTCAGCTAAGGCTGTCGGATGGAACAAGAATGGTCTCGCGTTTCAACCACCACCATACAATCAGGGACATTCGTGGCTTCATCGATGCGTCGAGACCTAGTGGTGCAAGAAACTACCAACTCCAGACAATGGGGTTCCCTCCCAAACAACTGGTTGAATTGGATCAAACCATCGAGCAAGCTGGAATAGCCAATTCTGTTGTGATTCAGAAATTCTAACAGGCTGAAACTCATTCGACGGCAAAGGTTAGCTTAGCAAACATTGAAACAGAGTCTTTCATCCTATATCTTATTTGGGTTTTGGTAGCTATGCTTATAAAGTATAAGTTTGCTTTGACATGTGGCCGAGTGTTCTATAGGGTCAGCTTCCATTTCGACTTAATTATCATACCTTAATAATATTTTTACTTAGTTGACTTAATTCGCTAGTAAGATTCTTCCCACTTTCTAAACCATTGATATGTTGAAATTCGTTAAGTTAATTTCAACATCAAAGTTTGTTTGTCTGGGATTGTGCTCTAAGAAAGTCATCGAGGAGGGTGATGGGATTGTGGCCTGAGAAAATCATCGAGGAGGACGATAACTAATTTAAGTAGAGGTGAATGTCACAACAATACTAATAATAGGTTGTGACCATCACGTATAGACAAGACAAGGTGGTGACACAGTAGTGGCAACCAACCAGCTACGTGATGACTGAGCCAAGACAAATGTCATGATGCGAATGAGAAGGATGGTGCATTATCTTACACATCATTGAAATGTGCATGAAAAATAAGTCGAGATTTTCTCAGGGTATTATTCCATCGTGGATTTTGACACCAAACACCTCACCGACATGCCTATTTTCTTGTTCTTTTATAATCACGTTGTTCACACCGCTTACCTAGTTTGTTGATGAAGCTTAAGCGTTGTAAAGGAAGATTGGCGTGGGGACGTGGATTGCCCATGTGCAACGTGACCAAATAAGGAAGCCGATCGTAGATTGAACGACGGGACGTGGATTGCCCATGCGACGTGACCAAATAAGGAAGCCCATCCTAGATTGAACGAGAAAAAAATTGAGCTATCGGCCCCTTTTGGTTATTTATTTATTTATTTCTGAGTCTAAATTAAGCTGATTATTTAATTTATTTTATCATAATAAAAAAAAAACTACAAATAAAAATAAATAAATTAATTCTAAATTAAAAGAATTAATTTTAAACCATGTAGCCGTTACATCCATTTAAAGTAATAAGTTTTAGTTTAAGATTCTATAACGTATACTTCCTTTTTTCAATTTTTACGTTTATTTGATGGAAAAAAAAAAATCAAAATTGGAAAACTAAAACGTATTTATTTTTTCAATTTCTATATGGAACCAAATAATAATTAAAAATGTAGTTATTTTTTCTTTTACACTATTTCTAAATTTTTATTAATACCCTTTTTTTAAGAAGTAACTTTAAAATTTTAAAAAAATTAAAAAATATTTTTACTATTAGTATAAACTTAAAAATACTCCAAATTTTCTACTAAACAGTTTATTGGTACTCTTTTTTTTCACTAACAATGATTCACAATCAAAATTAAAAAAATAAAATATATTTATTATTATAAGGAATGTTGACTTTTTTTTTTTACTTTAAATCCTAAAAAAGTATGAACCGACTTCTATATTAGTTTATTTATTGTGAATTAAGGATACCTTAATCATCACTTCTAATTGTAATAATTTTTATTTATTTATAATTTAGTCCTTTTAACTTTTAAAATTTTCTCAAAAGTCCCTCTCATTTTAACATTTTTAATGGTATAATATATCTAAAATTTCTTTAATTAAAAGGCTAGTAATAGTGAATTTTTTTTAATAATATATTGACTAATTTGAAATAAAAAAAAATGATAAATTTCAATTAAAAAAAAGTACATGAAAATAAAAAGAATCAGAACTGTTCATTCATTAGAGATCGAACGGCGAAGGAGAGGTGAGAGAGGTAGCCGAATCAATTTCAAAGAAGGAGCCGTTAGAGTAAATGGACAGAGTGGTTTGCGGGCCTGGTCGTCCCCTCCCTTTCCTTCGATTAAATGCAAATGTCGATGACGTTTGTTCACCCTATCATAATCCACAGAAGATAAACAAGTAAAATATCAAAAAACAGAAGCTGCCGAAAATCAAAAAGGTCTTAATCCGGTTTTCCCGTCACCATTTTCAATCCTTTGACATACCCTTTTCAATCAATCACCGACCCTTTCGCCCTTTTCGTTTTGTTTATTGTTTTCTCAAATTTCAGGTGCGTGCATGAGACGTGAGCATCAAGTATTCGCACCTCACATGACTGACACTCTCTGATTTCTTCCTTCTTCTTCTTCCTTTTCCCCCTTTTGATCCTTTCCCATCTTCTCATCGTGTTATTCATTTTTCCAGAATCTTCACGTTGTTTGCACTACTGGGTACTTTTTTTTTTATTGATGTTCTTGCCTGAATCTGCCTGTTCGTCTCGATTTTAACGTTTTGGGGAGTTTTTGGCTCAGCTGGACTGAAGCAGTGAGTATTGGTGATCTGTTGTGGAAGATTTCGAGTTGAAATCGTAAAAAGAGAGTGCCCAAATTGTGAGTTCTCTGGATTTGTAACTGGGTTTCTGTGGATTTGTTGCTATGTTTTGAACTTTTGGGGTTATTTTCATTTGATTATCGTATTGAGTTCCATGAACAATCAACTCTGCGGTGACCTATTTTCTTTGCCTCTTTCTTCTTGATGGGTTTTTGTGCAGATTAGTTGATTTGTAGTTGAGGAGGATAAATGGCATCCATCTCGGATATAGGAGTTGGGGCAGCCATTAACATTCTTAGTGCTTTTGCTTTCTTTATAGTATTTGCTTTACTTCGGATACAGCCAGTGAATGATAGGGTCTACTTTCCCAAATGGTACATTAAAGGCTTAAGAGGAAGTCCATTGTCTAATGGTGCAATGGTAGGCAGAATTGTGAATTTGGATTTCAGATCATACTTGAAGTTTCTGAACTGGATGGTTGCAGCTTTGCGAATGCCAGAACCCGAGTTAATCGATCATGCCGGGCTCGATTCTGCTGTTTACCTGAGGATTTACTTGTTAGGGTAATTGTGTATCTTCTTTCTCAGTAGTTTGTACTTTGCCATGTGAATATTCCTGTTGCACTGTTTGTTGACTGTCCTAGAGATTTTCTTGTGAAAATGAAATTAGTGGGACTGTTGAGAACTAAAGAGAATAATAAAAAACTTCCCTGTTAGGAATCACGAACCTCCACAATGGTATGATATTGTCAACTTTGAGCATTAGCTCTCACGACTTTGCCTTTTGGTTTCCCCAAAAGGCTTTATACTAATGGAGAAACCAAAAGACCTCATACTAATGGAGATGTATTCCTTACTTATAAACCCGTGATCAAACCCTTAATTAACCGATGTGGGACTCCTCTCCCAACAATCCTCCCCTTGAACGAAGTACACCGTAAAGCCTCCCTTGAGGCCTATGGAGCCCTTGAACAGCCTCCCCTTAATCGAGGCTCAACTCCTCCTCTGAAGCACTTGAACAGAGTACAACCTTTGTTTGACACTTGAGTCACTTTTGACTACACCTTTGAGGCCGACAACTTCTTTGTTCGACATTTGAGAATTCTATTGACATGACTAAGTTAAAGGCATGACTCTGATACCATGTTAGGAATCACGAACCTCTAAAATGATATGATATTGTCCACTTTTATCATTAGCTCTCATGACTTTGTTTTTTGGTTTCCCCAAAAGGCCTCGTACCAATGGAGATGTATTCCTTACTTATAAACCGGTGATCAACCCCTTAATTAGCCGATGTGGGACTCCTCTTCCAACAATCCTCAACCTTCCCAACCTGGTTTCATTGATTTTGTCTATCCAGCTTAGTTTCTTTAAATTTTAATTGCTGAGAATTTGATCAGTTGTGGGATAATGGGAAGGTTGAATTGAATCCTTAAAAGTCATACCTAATTAATACTTGTGTGGTATTTATCATCTTATCATCTTCTTCATTGACTGAAATTCTAGCTTTTTCTTGCCATTTTGTTGCAGGCTCAAAATTTTTGTGCCCATTGCATGTCTGGCCTTCACAATCCTGGTACCCGTTAATTGGACAAATGGAACTTTGGAGCATTCTTCTTTAAATTACAGCGATATAGACAAGCTTTCCATTTCCAACATTCCTGTTGGATCACGTAGGTATGCGACAGAAGCTTTTTAAGAAACAATCACTTGGACATGCATGATTTTTCCTCCTCCTAAGTTGTCGGACAGTTCTCAAATCTTCAATCTCTTTCTTCATGCTTAATGGATTGCCTTTTCATTACTAATTTATCATAGAAATGAATTTGGAGTTAAATAGAAATGGATCCATATATAGAAATTTGTGAGGTCCCACATCGGTTGGAGAGGGGAATGAAACATTCCTTGTAAGGGTGTGGAAACCTCTCCTTAGTAGACGCGTTTTTTAAATGTGAGGCTAACGGCGATACGTAACGGGTCAAAGCGGACAATACTTGCTAGCGGTGGTATTGGGCTGTTACAAATGGTATCAGAGCCAGACATTAAGTAGTATGCCAGTGAAGACGTTGGACCTCTAAGAGAGTGGATTGTGAGATCCCACATCGGTTGAAGAGGGGAACGAAGTATTCCTTATAAGGATGTGGAAACCTCTCCCTAGTAGACACGTTTTAAAACCATGAGGCTGACGACGTTACGTAATGGGCCAAAACGGATAATATCTGCCAGCGGTGGACTTGGGTTGTTACAAATCACATCATATAACCCCATAAGAGCATTCATTATGAAACTAAAAAATTGAGCTAGGAAGAGAATGATTTATACACTATGTTGTAACTTTCTGGGATATGGGTAATCAGATAATAAACATTGATGAATGAGCTGTAAACTTCTTAATTTCATCACCACGTTAGATCATAAAAGATGTTCTCAATTGCTTTTAATATCACTTATTGCAGATTTTGGACCCATTTGGTTATGGCTTATGTCTTTACGTTTTGGACTTGCTATGTGTTGAGAAAGGAGTATGAGAATGTTGCTTTAATGAGGCTCCATTTTCTTGCATCCGAAAATCGGCGTCCAGATCAGTTCACGGTACGATTGTTCCTGAATCCCTGATTATTATTAACCTCATTTTGAGGTGGCCAAGTTCTGAGAATGGTGCATTTGCTATCCCTTTCTCTAACCATTGCACTTAAATGGTGCATCAAGCTTGTTCAACTCGTAGTTAACATGTATGCTGACATCAGTTGTATGATGCAGGTGATTGTTAGAAACGTACCTCCAGACCCTGATGAATCCGTTAGCGAGCTCGTTGAACATTTTTTCCTGGTCAATCATCCTGAACATTACCTGAATCATCAGGTCAAGATCTTTCCATGAATG